CCTTTTTGTCTTTTTTCGTGACTGGTAACGGGATCGCAACCCTCAGTGTCGCGCCCATACCATGACCGGCAACGGGATCGCAATCCTCGGTGTCGCGCCTGCACCGTGCTCAACTAGTGAGCGGACCGGTCTGTATATGGGATCCGAACCCTTGGCGGGAGCACTGCCGCACTCCCAAGCGCTGCACTCTACCAAGTGCACCACTGGGCTGGCCCTAAAAATGCATTTTCTGTAACAGGGGAAATATCTGCCAACCAGTGAACGTAAGGTTGATTATAATTCTATTATCAACCTCCTATGACAAAAAAGGAAATACAGACGCATTATATAAAATATGGATAATAGAGAAAAGAAAAAAGAAGAAATGAGAGTCACCCAGAGGTAATTAACATAGACTTATGAATATGTGATAAGATTAAATAAGAAGTGGACTCACGCTACACATTGTGTTACAATCTAACAAAATGTTGTGACAATTTTTCCATGCCTTTAAATGTCTTTCTACCTAACATGATTTTTGACAGCATGCTGTATCATAATTTATTTAACCAATCTTTTATTTTTAGATATATAATTTGTTCCCAAAATTTATTATCAATAAAACTGCAAGGAATATTGCATAAAACTACTTTTCTACATCTCTCACAATTTTCACTTTCGTTATTATTTCTTTTTATATTATATTTAGATGTGATATTCATGAGTCAAGGATGTACACTACTTTGAAGACTTAATACATACTAACAAAATTCTCTTCCTGACTAGGTTTTATTAATTTATATGCCCACAAGCAAGCAGAACATGAGCATTTCTTTTTGTTTGTTTTTCTTTTTGAGTAGCCACATGAAGCACTTTGTTTTTTTTTGGTTTTTTTTTTTCCTTTTTGTCTTTTTTCGTGTCCGGCAACAGATTGCAACCCTCAGTGTCGCGCCCGTACTGGACCAGGACTGGCAACGGGATCGCAACCCTCGGTATTGCTCCCGCACCTCGCTCAGCCAGTGAGCGGGAACCGGTCTGTATGTGGGATCCGAACCCTCGGCGGGAGCGCCGCCGCACTCCCAAGCGGCGCACTGTAGCAGTGCGCCACCGGGCCAGCCCAGAAGCACTTTATTTAATTACATCAAGAAAGCACCTTAAACATCAATTTAAAAATTCAAGCCTATATTGAAAATAGCATTCTGAGAATTTCTGTTTCTCCACCACCCTGCTGACCTGGTATCTAACAATCAAAAGGAACCCAAATACTTAGCAAAAGCAAAAATGATGCTTCCCTATTTTATTTTGACCTTCTTTTTATTAAGAAATAACTTATTACTTTATTTCTTGGCCATCCTAGTGTGTGTGTGTGTACAAGACAGAGAAGGTGCTCATACCCATGGCTGTGTCTTTACTGGGAGGTTCATCTTTTCTTAGGATTTTTAAGACTACTTTGGATAGTTACGTAGCAAGGATATTAACCCTCTTCACAGCAATCACATGTTGCACAGTATTTGCCTGTTTGTCATTAACCCTGTTCCATGTGAAAGTTTTCTTCTATGGTGTCTGACTTTGGCTTTTCTTCAGCCTGGTATTACAACTATTCACCTTTACGTTTCCTTCTAGCACTTCAGTATGTACTGGATATTTTACTATATGTATATTTAGTATGTATTTGGACTTTATACTGGTGTATGGAGTGGGTGATAGATTTAATTTCCCCTTAAGTAAACCCGCTCATTTTAGCTTCAAATTCCAAACTTCATGCAAACAGCATAATGCTGGGACACATTGTGTGTATAACTTTTCTTTGCTTCTGAAAAAACAGCCATCTGCTGCATGGTTGTAGGAGACAGGGAAGCGGGCAGCAGTGATCACTTCTTATTCTGAAGGACTGAGATCGAGGAAACCAGTCACAAGCATTCGGGGAGATACCGAGAAGCCTGCACCCTGTGGCTGTCATGAGGGGGGGTGGGGGGCTGGGTAGAGTTCAGCCCAGTGCTTCCGGAGGGCTGCGCCACATGGGGTTTCAGTGGCAGGTCAGAGCACATGGGGTTTGGCCAGTCTCCATGCAGCAGGGTGGGAAACCGCCTGCCGTGCCACCAGTGCCTCCTCTCAAGGGTCACACAAGGCTCGGCTGCCCAGGGGTGACCTGCAAGCATGCTGCCTCTCACCACGAAAAACAGACTCTCACCTCCATCTTAAGTAAGTGCTCTCGTAGTGGGCAGGTAATCTGTTCACTGCCTAGTTTGTTTTAGGTGACTGCAACATGTCACTAAACATGCACTGTCCCTTCCCCATCCTCATGCTGTGCAGCTCCACCCGCCACAGGAGCTAGGGGCAGAGAGGATGCTGTGGCACACTTACAGCTGCCCAGGCGGTTCTGGAAGTCCATGGACATGTTGCTCAGAAAGTCTTTGTCGACAATGTCCTGCCACTGGACAGTCTCCACGTTGCAGAGGACAGGGTTGTTGCTGAACCGCATAGCACCGTGCAGGATCTCTGCACAGGGAGGAACACAGTGAGCAAGCTCCCCACCCCTCCAACACCACGCGGGGCATGCACACTCACTACATTTACACTCTGTAACATGTGCCTGCGCCCAAACGACAGCCAGCTCGCTAGCCCCATAAAAGCTTCGAGGGGGGCAGATGAAAATCGCTGATGACGGCGCCACGGAGGAGTGGGCATTTTCCTCCAAACTAGGCTTTGAACAGCGATTAGAAACTTAGAAACCTGGGGAGGAGGGAGATGGACGGGTCAGTTGGTGGTGCAGTGCCAGTGTCCTGTACACGGTGCGTTGGTGGTTCTGGGGGCTGAAGGGCTGGACTGGAACAAACTACCATGGGGAGATGGGTGCAGAATCACAAGCACTGCGGACTTGGAGGCAAGGCAGGGCAGTCAGCCCGCACCTAGTGTGTGCCCAGGGCCCTGGAGGATTGTCACTGGAGAACAGGGTGCGAGAATGACATGGAGCAAGAAGAATGTTTGTCTGAGAAGAGGCAGGCAGACACCAGAGACGCTGAGGACATATAAGACTGGGCAGTTGTTCCAGGGGAAGACCTGAGAAGACATGAGAAGTCAGGATGAAAGAAAGCAAGGCTGCACAAAGGGAGAGCCCTGTACCAGTGGCATGAACACGAACACCGGTGTAAGGATTCATGTGTGCAAACACTGCACCAGTGCTGCGGGGTCTGCAGAGATGAGCGAGCCCTGCTGGCTTCTCCGAGAGCTGACACGCATGGGGAGACCGACAAGTCACAAGGCTTAAGAACTCTGTGCCCACGGGAGACCATGCCACACAATGAGACCAGTATGGTGCTAGTTGATTAATAAGCATTATCTTCATTAGCCCTCACAATGGTCCAATGACTATCTGCAACTTAAATTTAGAAAAACCCAACCTTAGATACATTCAATAATGCCCAGCATCTCACAGGCAGGGAATAGATATACTATGTGCACAAGGCACCATCGGGGAAGAGGATTCTCCCCGGGAAGATCTCAGAGGCTGTTGGAAAGAATGTGATTTCCCAGGACGTGGACAGGCACGTATTTTGAAGGGATAAGGAGGGGAGGGCGCTGAAGGCTTCCTGCAGACAGAAGACCCAGAGCAGAGGCACGGAGGGTGGGACAGGTGGACAGTTTCTTCAGTGGATGGTGGAGAATGAAGGAACTGAGGGAGGAAGGCTGAGGTCAGAAAGGGCCAAACTGCAGCTTATCTGTAAAGTCAGAAACGACAGCAGGGCCATCGAATGAACACACTCAAACAGAAAAGGGACATCAAGGCTGCTGAGACAATCAGGACAGCAGACACGGGGCCAAGGAGGAGTGTGAAGAGGGAGAGTTGTGAATGGGCGTCAGGAACAGCTGCGGGCAGCGCCAGGGGGAGCAGAGGTGCAGTGGGGAGGGGGCGGCTCCGGCGCCGCTTCCATCTAGCAGAGAAGGGAACGGGGAGACAGGAGAATCGCTGCTTTAGTTTGAACGCTCACACCATGGCAGGCACTGGCTAACAGTTAGTAGTACTGGGGCGGGGAGTCATGGGAGGTCATGCTTAATGTTATGCTTAGGATGGCAAAAAAGTTTTGGAAATAGACAGATGTGGTGGTCACACAGCACCGTGAGTGTATTAATTCCACTAAGTTGTATGTTTAAAAATGGCTAAAGTGGCACATCTTGAGTATATGTATGTTGCTACAATAACAAAATAATAAAAACAAAAAACCAACTATCGATAGTACTACATTAAATAACCTGGATCTATACGACCCCAACCTTGGTTAAAAAAAAACAAAAAAAAAAAAACTAAGAACAATAGAAATAGTTGCTGAGTGCTTTACTTTTAGTAACTCAATTTTCTCTTAATTTCTTAATTTTCTAAGAAGTATGTTACCATTTTTAGCATGTAGGCTATTCACAATCTTGAAGGTGAGGAAACTGAGATACAGAGAGGTTAAGAACATGCTCCAGGGTTGCCTGGCTGGTGACAGAGCTGGCTGGAGCCCAGGCTGTGGGGCTCCAGGGTTGTCATGCTTACATACTGCCTCGCCCCATGATCCCAGGACAGGTGAGACAGGCAGATGCCGGTGGACAAAGTACGGGTCGTTCCCCGGTGCAGGTGTAACGCAGCAGTGTCACCATGAACGCTGAAGTGTGCATGGGGCGCTCTGGGCTGTAGCAGTGGGTGGAACACCCACAGCAGTTTTAAGGGGTGGTGAGCTACCGCGCCCAGGAGGGGAGGGCCTGGCTGGTTCCATTCTCGGCTTTGGATGTGTGGCCAGATCCCAGCACTGTGCACCGCTGGCCTCCACCCCTCTGAAGACGACCCCTCTGTTCTGCACCCCCCTTTTCACCTCCTGTGGGCCCTGCCTCCCCCTCAGAACTGCATGGCATGTGGGAAGGGTGGGAGCCCTGGGGACCGAGAGTTGTCCTTTCTTTTCATTACTTTACTTTATGCCATTTCTTTATTTGTAAAATGGCAGAGTATAGCACCTACTTTGAAGGAAGGTTCCGGGCTTTAAATGAAGTTGCTGATTTAACATGCCTGACACCAAACCTACCACCCACTAAGAGCATAATAGCTGTTATCTCTAAACGTTAAAAATCAGCTTCCCTCTTTTCTACCATCTTTCAAAGCTGGCACCCAGACATATGTATCTGATGAATAGAAGACTTCTCTGAGGTTCAATTAAGAACAATGATAGGTTCGCTGATGCCGCTAGGTCCCTCTCTGCGTTCACAACCCCACAGCCCCCTCACCCTGTAAGTTCCTCATGGGCAGCTCCCGCAGGCCAGTTTTGTTTGCGCCGTAGTTGGATAAGACTGCCAAGGCGTAGGTGTTTTCATAGAGCACATTCCCTCTGATGATCTGCAGGTTTTCCAGGGGAATCTTCTCCACGGTGTTGAGGGCAATGAGAACGTAGCCAGCCACCTCCTGGATAGTCTGAGGAGATAAAACAAGAAGTCAAGCTCTAACATGGGGCCAGAGAGTCCCAGGACACCTAACTGAATAAGTGAACTAGAACACCCAACGTATAGGTGATAATGCAGGGGAGACGGGAGGTGATGGGGTTTGCAGGGGCTCACGCACGTCTGCTGGTGCAGCAATACGAGCTCATCACTCGCCGCACCTCTCACTTCACCTGGTGTGCAACACACTCAGATGGATGTGGAAATGTCTAAAAATTATTTTGTATCTGTCTCACATGCTTTCTAATTAAAAACAAAACAAAACAAACAACCAAACCCAGAAGGCAGCCAAGCAAATCCAATCAAAGTTCAACCACCACCAAACTCTGAAGCCTTCAGAGCTGGTTCCTACTGGCTCACTATAGCCCTAGTGTAGGAATTTTGTGAACTGGTGGTAAAACTCCTGGTAGCTTAAAACCAGCTGTGGTGGGAGTATTTACAAGGATA